GTATAATTTATCGATTGGGTGTAACACAAGGAATCACATTTTATGTCCTCTCGATCGCAAGAATGTTTTATGTTGAACTATTTGTGAGTAATTTATCTGTGCACTGATCAAATCTCATTCAGGGGACCGAATCGCAATTTGCCGCGAACTGTATTGTATTTACAAATTACCAAGGGGTAAAGTTACAACGATAACTCATTGAGGGTGCCAGCGAATCGTCTCTGTGTTTCGAGGAACTTCCGTTCACGTTCCACACAGGCTTCGAGGTGTGACGACGCGATCCTGGTCAAATTAGTGCTATTTACAGGCAACTTATTCTTCAAAAGTGCCTTGGCAAACCGTGACGGAAACCAGGCTGATCGGATGCATCCTTCAAGAAAGCTTATCCTCGTGCGTTCTACAGCCAGCTTACAACGCAACGACAACAATAGGTCTAATGCCTTCACAACGGTAACGGGGAGTCTTCTTTTCAGAAACGTAAAACATTTGGTCCCCTTCAGCCAATTGGTCAAAGCAGAAAGAAGGCACAGATTGCGATATGTTAACATTTCGATTGTTCTCGTCAGTCGCATACACAATACAAGCAGAAACACATACACAATTATGTACATGGCAAAAAATTGGCAAACCAATCAAAACGTCCAAATCAAGTCCAAGGCAATCGGATTGATTGCCTCGACAGTTTCTGTGCACATAGCACTGGTTGATAAGCCCTGATAAGCAACGCTTCACTGATTGCCGACATTATCGGGTTCCGGTTACGTAATAGCACTTTGAACGCAGTCTTGGGGTCCACATTGTGACCATTGTTCCTCGAAACACAGAGACGTTTCGCTGGCACCCTCAATGAGTTATCGTTGATTTGCCGCTTGAAATTTGAGGCCTTTTCTGCAGAAGTTCTCCGCCGTACGCGAATGAAAACAGTTTGTAGCCTACAGGGTTCGCTTAAAAGGGCTACACCTTCTTCCTTCCCGATTGATTGCTCGAAGCACGTATGTAATCTATCGTCTGCTCAGTTCACTCGCCCGCAGTTGGAAGTGCTTTCCCTTGGAATGAAATATCGGTTGCCACCGAAGACGATAGACAGGCTCAGCACGCAGGCTCAGTTTGAATATCTGTATGACCAGCTCAGTGATCTCTCGCCAAGATCTATAGAAGATGCGGGCTGGTTTCGGGCAAAATTGATGGATATCGCGAACCAATTCCTTAATGCGCCAATAAGCCAGAGATGTTGCCTTAATGCTGAACACTATGACGCGATCAGAGAGTTAAAAGAAATGGCAAACGTAATCTTCCTGCAGCCAGACAAAGGATCAGATATTGTAGTAATGAACAAGGATGACTACGTTTCGAAAATGGAGTCTATTTTGGAGGATAGACGTAAGTTCCTGATAGATACGACACCAGAGAATAACATCTTGGTGGAGAAACAGGTGGCCAGCAAACTCCAGATCCTTTTGCTACACGGATACATCACTGAGTCACAGTACAGACAGCTGGAACCGACTGGGACGCAGACACCGAGAATGAGGGACGCGCCTAAGATACACAAGCCAGGCAACCCACTGCGTCCCATTATGTGCATGAACAACTCGCCTTATCACAACGTTGCCCGGTGGCTGGCGAAACTCTTAGATCCGGTGCGTAAACTCTTGGCTACGCACTGCCTGAAAGATTCATTTGAACTAGCGGAGACACTAGAACAATTCTCACTGGGTTCGGAAGTAATGTACTCTATTGACGTGGATTCTCTATTCACAAACGTGCCACTTCAAGAAACAGTTGATGAATTGTGCCATTTCATCCTGAGTCAAAATATGTATGTGGGTCTCCCTGTGGAATATTTGCGGGATATGATTCTACTGTGTACAGAGAATGTACGTTTTGAGTTTGTGGGGAGAGCATACAAGCAAATCGACGGAGTCGCCATGGGTAGCCCTCTTGGACCAGTCTTGGCAGATATCTTTCTCGGCTTGATTGAAAGACAAGTCGCTGCCAGTATTGGTGAAGCAAGATTATACAAAAGATATGTAGATGACATTCTGGTGTTCACCAACAGCGAACATTTTACTCGCCTGTTAACCACTTTAAATTCAATTCACCCTAACTTATGAGTCTCCCACGAGATGGAGCAACACGGCTCTCTGGCATTTTTGGATATCCTCATTAAGAGGCGGGACGGAAGTACATTGCAGCGCACCGTTTACCGCAAGGCAACCTGGAGTGGGCAGTACCTTCACTTTTCCAGTTTTGCCCCGGTTGCATACAAACGCGGCCTAGTGAAAACGCTGTTCTACAGGGCCAGACGTATTTGTAGTCCGGATACACTGGAAGCCGAAGAGAAGTTTCTGAATAGGACCTTGGTGGCAAATGGTTATCCTGAAAAGTTCATCCAAGCGCATAGCAGACTCCCCAAAAAGAAACTACCGGTGCTAACGGCAGAGAAAAAAGCTGTTTATCTGTTCCTGCCCTTCAAGGGAGACCAGGTGGCAAACGACATCGGACACAAGCTCAGGTCCGCTCTAACGCGCACGTACACGACTGCACAGTTGCGTCTCATGCACACGAAAACTTGTTCTTCATGACCATCAGAGCCACCCTTCGGCTAGTTCGCCTTCGCATGTGGTCTATCAGTTCACCTGCAGTTGCAGTGACGTTTACATAGGCAGGACTAACCGTCGGTTAGCTCAGAGAGTGGCTGAACATTTGCCAAAGTGGCTCGAGCAAATGATGACGCAACAAAATGGAGCACCTCCCAGAATGAACCTGATTCTGTCATCATCTATCACTAAGCACCTCGTGACAACTGGTCAAAATGTGGACCCCAAGACTGCGTTCAAAGTGCTATTACGTAACCGGAACCCGATAATGTCGGCAATCAGTGAAGCGTTGCTTATCAGGGCTTATCAACCAGTGCTATGTGCACAGAAACTGTTGAGGCAATCAATCCGATTGCCTTGGACTTGATTTTGACGTTTTGATTGGTTTGCCAATTTTTTGCCATGTATATAATTGTGTATGTGTTTCTGCTTGTATTGTGTATGCGACTGACGAGAACAATCGAAATGTTAACATATCGCAATCTGTGCCTTCTTTGTGCTTTGACCAATTGGCTGAAGGGGACCAAATGTTTTACGTTTCTGAAAAGAAGACTCCCCGTTACCGTTGTGAAGGCATTAGACCTATTGTTGTCGTTGCGTTGTAAGCTGGCTGTAGAACGCACGAGGATAAGCTTTCTTGAAGGATGCATCCGATCAGGCTGGTTTCCGTCACGGTTTGCCAAGGCACTTTTGAAGAATAAATTGCCTGTAAATAGCACTAATTTGACCAGGATCGCGTCGTCACACCTCGAAGCCTGTGTGGAACGTGAACGGAAGTTCCTCGAAACACAGAGACGATTCGCTGGCACCCTCAATGAGTTATCGTTAATTTGTCCTAAGAATCAGTTGACTGTAGTAAATCCAAGTAATTCGTAAAAGAACTTTCCCACAGCCCAATCGCTTTCAGTAGGCTTAGGACTGGCATCGCAAAAGAAAGCTTCCGGAGGTGGTATATGAAATGCTATAATAGTGATTCCTAGCCGCGATTGAGTAGTCACGATTTCGTCATGATTGATTCGTTTGAGTGGTATTTGCTAAGCCGACGGTCGAAAGTGTGTTCGCTGTCGATTGTGCTTTTTAAACTGGTTTGCTCTGCTATCGTAATGGCAGGGACATTCGCGCTGCGAATAATTTTTCTGCCACATGGCATTTCAACAAGCTCGTCTCTGTCATGTGTGCTGATGTTTACATTTTAGCTTCCAACTGTTCTTTACTCCATGGTGCTGATGCGCTGCGCATATTTGCAACAGACGTTCGCCGTTGTCCGTACAGTCGGATTTAATTCCATAAATACCAACTAGCTGAGCTTCTGAAGAGCACAGACGACCTATTTGCGTATTCATATCCTCTGCAACAACAACAATATCAGAACTGGTAACATCGCGAAGCAGTGCATTCAATGCGTGGTAGAAGGTGCTCCTGACAGCATCAGAACTGCAGTCGGTGGGAGCATAAGCTGAAATCAAAAACAAACAGCGTTTTGTACTACGTAGTGATGTCGTCAAACGGACTGCATACAGGAATCAAACAAATGAGCGATGATTCAACCTTGGAGCTAAGAACGATGCTACATTAGCATCTCCTGACGCGTGTAACCATCACCGAGAAGACAAGGCGGGTGTAGTTAGTTCAACAGCCACGTGAGCGTCGCTAACCCTATGTTCAGACACTCAACCCACGTGAATATCCCGTGTAACAAAACGTGCGTGCGAGTGCATCCTCTTAACCTGTTTGCCTTCAGAATGCGAACGTTGAACGCCGCCAACAAAACGGGACGGCGTGGCCTTATAAGGGGATGTTGCCGATGGGTGTCCATTGAATAGTGCGGGAAAATAGCTGTAAATGGCATAGCGGTTGCTGTCAATAAGGCTGGAAATTATGGAAGGAAGGTTAGTAATGGGTGTCGGGAGAGGAGTGAGAGAAACAGATGGAAAAGAAGGACGAGAGGTGCTAGCAGCAGCATGTTTTCGCTTAACTGCCCAGCTAGCTGTATGTAGCAGGTATGACGAGCTTTGATAATCTGCGCGACGGCCGATAGAGCATGCGGTGGAAGTCAGTAGAAATTGGTTGTACGTGGGCTGAGATACAACCAGGGCGTCAAAATGGTTGGAGTCTTCAACCAGAACCTCTGGCTCTAAAGCTTGTTAGCAAGGTAACGCGGAGTTGATACTGGTTCGGTTTGACAGAAGTAGACGCCATCCCATTTCCAACCTCTAACCTGGAGGACCAGGAGACTGAGTTTGTCTGGCTTCTAACCATTGAAAAACCTGGTAGTAGTAGCTCTCAAGAGGCGAGAGGGGGGGGGTCGAGGAGGTACACAAAGCGTCGCACCACGTTAATGTACACTCTCGTTGCGATGGCAGAGCAGGTGTACTGAGAAAGTGTCGGAGCTGTGCGCCGTTACTAGTAGGTTACATATTGGAGAGGAAGAAAATCAGCACGGAAGCAGATACACTACTCAGGTGAGCTTGTCAAGGAGGCAACATGAGGATACTGTCATAACTTATGTAACAGACGGACCAGAAGAACAATGACAAACTTTACTCTAAGCCGGCGAAAAGGAAAACGTATCCACCTATAAATCGTTTGGTGAACTCGTAGGGACAGAATGAGTGTGTATTCATTGCGTGATTGTTCATGCACAGCAATTCTGTCAATAGGTCTTCCTCTATACGGAAGAGAGAAGACAGCTCAAGCAAAGATTAGATGATAGGGCAGCGAATAAAGTGAGAGTACAAGTGAACGACGCAGGTAAAAGACAAAAGTAAAGTAAAGATGAATGTCATGTCGCGTAGTCAAAGCGGTAAGAAATAAGATCGCGCGGAGAGAAGTAAGCAAAAATTATTGCACTAGAGAGGTCAAAAATCTCTGAAAGTAATATGTACAGGAGTTGAGCACTCCGACCACTTCAAAGTAAAAGTGAGATATGTGGAGACAGGTGACTAAAAAGGCACAGGACCGTGCGTGAGATCAACGAACGTAGCCACTCCTTCGCGCTTCAGTGGGCAGGTGGAATCCATATCAGTAAAGAACGGATGAAGTAGCTGTTCAAAAATGTGCACTGGACTAGGCCAATCTTGCGAAAGGTTGTTGCAGGGGAGAAAGTGGGCCAGAAGATAGCAGCAGCAGCAGCAAGCAGATACAAATATACCACTGGTCATAAAGATAAGGCGAGCGAAGTGAGAGATCTTCGGAGAAATAGGTGGAGTGACAAATTGGGTTGACGAGTGCACCAGGTTTTTTGCATGAACGACTGTATCAGCGCTGAGATCCTCCCACTCATGACATTTTGTCTGGCAATTCTGCGGGGAAATCGAAGATATATGGATACCAGGTGAAATGTAAGTGAAGCCGGCGAATCATGAACGAATATGTGATATCGACGGATGTGAATATCTAACCGAAAGAAGCTAAACAAAACCATCAGTCAGGGTGGCAACTCCGAGTTGCCTGCACTGTGCAAATAAGCTCATTAAGAAGGTGGACAAAGGTGAAGTTGCGTCACAGCAAGGCTCATCGAGAAAAATCAAATGTCAATAGAACAAATGGGCCTGTTGCTAGAACATGAGATGTCACATGATGCCCAGACGCTCAGGCGACAGGCTATCAGAAAAAGGCATAAAAATACGGCTAGGGTGACAAGTTGAAAGTCTGTTCACCCACTGGAGTTACTTTAAGGGAGTGGAGTGATCAGCATTTAGGGGCAATCATCAGGGGCTCTTAGAAAGACAATTGTAAACAGATGAGCATGGGAAGCGTGCGAAAGATGGACAGAGGCGCAAGCTGGCTGTTAAACGAAGGTGAACAGATCAGATTAACATGGGAGAAAAGGTCAGTGAGCATTCCCCGTAAACTACACTTTGGTCGGTAGTAAATTTAAATGGGTGCTCACCTGCTCCATATCACAAAGAGGTTTGCCTAGTTTAATTAATTGGTTTGAGGATGTACTCAGGGTCAATCTTTCGGACAATCTAAAAGTAAAGGTGGAAAAAGGGATGGAACGACGAGGATTTGCCAAACGCTGTGTGAGACATATTGCAATGTTGCATGAAGAAATAATAATGATAATCCCTCACCAAGTGATAAGCCGTGTCCATAGTTGGCACAGATCATGTTTGTAGTTAGTATCATGCTTTTGCATGGGCAATGTACAGCTGTGTGCTTGGGTTTGGTTGTGCGTTGCTGATAATGCGTATGCGATACATGTTTGTGTGCTACCGCAAAGTGGAAGATATCGGTGCGCTTTGAGGCTAGTGTAAACACTAGGGATATCTTACATTACGTAAATATCCTCTATTTCACCCCCTTGAGACGTTCATCAGGACATCTCCCCCACGAGAACAAGGTCATAACCATATTCAAGTCGAGGTAGCTTCCAAACGAAATGCAGTTGCGCTCTCACACGATCGGACTGTGATTGGGTGCCGATTCTACAGGACAGCATTTCTGATTAGACAGAGGTTGGATCGTGTATTTGTTCTGCACCTTAGCATAACCAGGCAACAGTCCTTACTACTTACTACAGAGCAGAACGGATTTCTAAGCTCGGTCCTGTACTACTAAACTGTTGATAACTCGGACAGGTTAGATGGAACATGTGGTTGCTGGTGTAGGAGTAGATGCAGCCCACCTGGATTTCTTAGGCATTAAACCAACTAGACTATCGCATTCTACTTCACAATGTACAGAATTATGGAATCGGCGATCCCGTTTTGGGCTGGATAGGCGACTTTCTCGTTCAACATCACCTGAATGTGAGGGTTCGCAGCATCCTATCCAGTGCGGGGTACCTCAGGGCTCGGTACTCGGGCCTTGTCAGTTCCTGGTCATCACAAATGATCTCGCGAGTGTGCTATCTTCAAACTGCCGACTATTCACCGGTGGTCTAAAGATATGGCGTGCTATCACTACAGTGGAGGATCACAGAGCCGAACAAGATGATCTGGATAAGGCATACACATGATCTACAGAGAATATGCTACAGTTCAACGTATATATATATATATATATATATATATATATATATATATATATATATATTATACACAATCTGTGGTACAGATATTGTGCCATCGGAATCATGGCTGAATAGGAAAACAATATGAATAATAAGAAAAGAGCAACAAGAAATGCTTTTTTTGTCAAGTTTACCACTCACAGTTTTTGAAATTTTTTTTCAGTTTGTTCTTTTTTTAGGGGGAGGAGGAAGGAACACCGCAACACACTGATGCACACGTCCGCCATTGACATCGATCTTGAGCCATAACTTCCAAGGTTTTCAACCAGCAAGTATCCTCATCTCTCGGACCCCAACCAGGTAGTCGACAACAACCGGCCGAGGCCAATTGTTTCGTCAACTTTTTCATGCGGCTTCTCCATGTTGTAGGCTGTCCACCAGACCGTCTCTTCCAGCCCTGTCCAGCAAGTGCAAACAACGCACGACGCGGGTAACGCTGGACAGGCATGCGCAATACGTGTCCCAACCACCGCAGTTGATGCAGTGAGATGAGCTCCTCGAGCGAGTGGCTTCCACGTCCCAAGACACGCTGTCTAACTTCCACATTGCTTACGTGGTGCTGCCACCACACACGGGCAATGGACCGCAGACAGCGGTGCTCGAAGAGGGATAGCCTGCGCAAGTCATCTTTACGAATGGGCCAGGTCTCGCATCCGTACAACAGTACAGCACGAACAGTTGCACAATAGACCTGCCCCTTGATGGAGAGACGAATGTCGTGGCGACGCCACAAATGCCTCAGCCTAGAAAAAGCGAGGCGTGCTTTCGAGATGCGCATCGAAATCTCGTCTCCAACAGCTCCGCCAGCAGTGATGCAACTTCCCAAGTAGACAAAGCTCTCCACAACCTCCAGTGTCTCACCAGCAAGCGTGAGTGCAGGCAGAGGCACCTGCCAGTCTTGAAGGAGAGCCTTGCATTTGGATGGCGAAAAGCACATACCGTACTTTGATGCTTCAATCGTCAAGCGGTTTAATGCAAGTTGGGCGACGTGTGGATCGTCACCCAGCAAGACGATATCATCAGCATAATCCAAATCAACAACTCGACTACCTGGGAGGAGCTCAACGCCAGCGTTCAACGAATCGCTCAGAGCGTTCTTCAGGACATCCTCAATGGCAAAGTTGAATAGGAACGGAGAGATAGGGCATCCTTCTCGAACTCCACTGGAGACCACAAAGGTAGGCGAAAGCATGCCATAAGCCCTAACCCTGCCCGAGGTCAGACTGTATAGAGCGCGCAGTATGGAGACGAACTTCTCGGGGACACCGTTCCTCAGAAGGCACTGCCACAGTACTGTACGATCGACAGAATCGAAGGCTGCACGGATATCCAGGAACACAGCAATCGTTGGCCTCTGATACACATGGCGGAGCTCGAGGATCTGGCGAAGTGTGAAGATTTGATCGATGCAGCCGCGACCAGGGCGAAACCCAGCTTGTTCTTCTCGTTGCAACGATTCGCGTGTTGGGGATAGCCTGCGAAGTATGATGGACACCAGCAGCTTGCAAACGACGGGGACTAAACTTATTCCTCTGTAGTTGGAGCAGATTGTGCGCAGGCCCTTTTTGAAAATGGGTACGACTATCGATTCACCCCAAGATGATGGAACCTTCTCTTTCGACCAAATTTTCGAGAACAAAACGGTGAGTTCTCGGACCAGCGATGCGCCACCATCTTTAAATAGAGCTGGATGAAGACCATCAGGGCCGGGAGCTTTATAACGCTTCAGGTGCCGGAGCTCCTGCTCGATTTCCTGGGAAGAGGGAGGGTCTGTTGGGGTAGACCACTCCGCCCCAGCGCGAGCGCCAGAGGTAGCAGATGGAGCTGGGGGCCAACAAAACTGTGAGCCAAAATGTTCGGCCCATCGCTCCAACCGTCGTTGAAGATTGGTGATCAAGGTGCCATCCTCTTCGCATATTGTTTCACTTATACCAGATCGAACACCTTCGGTGACTCGAAGGAGATGGAAGAGTTTCCTGGTATTACCACAGAGACTAGCAAGCTCCATCTCCCTAGCACGTTCACACCACCAAGCTTCGCGGTCCATTTGCAGACTCCTGCGCAACTCTCGACCAAGGTATTGGCGTTCTTCAACGTGTCTCGAATCCGATGGGATCAAGCGGCGTTTGTCCATCAGCGACAAGGAGTCGGCGGAAATCCAATGTTTCGGTGGGTGACGGGTAACTCCACAAGTGTCGATACTGGCGGAAACTAACGCATCTTTGATATGCGCCCACTGTGAATCAAGATCACCGTCAATAGTTGAGCCAAGCAAAGTTGACAGTGAGGCTTGGTACCTGGTTAAAACCGCAGCGTTTTGTAGATTCGCGACGTCCGGTCGGTAGTGGGCTCGCTTAGGTGATCCTCCGAAACGCATGCAAATCTTAGCACGAACCAATGCGTGATCAGAGTCTAGAAAAGTTGACCAGTACGATCGGCAGTCCGTTACGCTTCCGCGCCATCGGTAGCTGATTGCTATGTGGTCAAGCTGGGAGCACTCTTGCGTTTGTGAGGGCGGGCGCCAGGTAGCAGTGTGTCTCCTCGAGTGTCGAAAACTAGTGTTCGAAAGAAACAAGCGATGATCAGAGCAAAGAGCAAGTAGTCTGTCTCCATTGTCTGATCGACTGCCACCGAGACCAAAACTACCCCCAATGTGGTGCTCGCTTGGTAGAAGGCGGCCAACCCGTGCGTTAAAGTCCCCGGCAAGAATGACTATATCCGTCCGTTTGGAGGAACGCAGAAGTTCATGTAGTTGTTGATAAAAGCTATCTTTAACTGCATCCGGGCTGCAGTCTGTAGGGGCGTAGGCGGAGACGACAAATAAGGCACGCTTAACCTCTCGATGCCTGCTTACGTTACATGAACCTCTTAGTCTGACTGCACATAGTCGGCTGTTGACTGGGATCCAGTCAATCAGAGCTGATTCAGCCCTGGCACTTAATACAACCCCAACACCAGCTTGACCAGTGGCGGCAGATTCTGGGTCTCCGGAAAGCCGCAAGTAGTATTTGGCGTCAGAGTTTACCGAAGAGGCCATTCTGATGACGGCGCTAGAGTCTTGTAATCTGGTCTCTGAAAGACAACAGATGTCTACCGATAGCGTTTCAACGTCATCAAGTACAAATTTCTGAGCATATACCATCAGAGCATTCACAACTACCGGCTAGGTCCACAATTTCTACAGAGTGCCTCTCATTAACTGCGATCATGGTGCGCACGTGCAAGATGACATTGGTTGAAGCAGGCTGAAAAGGTAGCAAGGAAAGCAAACCAGCACATCGGTCTTCTTCGTAAAGCAATCTAGAAGTTCGGTGCCTCAGTCTTCTCCAAAAAGACTTGGTGCGTACGTGAGGCCGCACGCAAAATACGCTAGCGACCCTGGCAGAAGCATCACTTAACCGCGCTCATGAATGCACAACGCAGGACGACGAAGAACGTCAAACCTTTGTTCCGCTTTCCCTAGCCACGTAGGATTAAAACGATAAAAGTATACAACTGACGCTATCAGCGCCTAAAGTGAGATCGCATAATAATGTAGCAGACCCTACAATACCCAAACCACATATGCCAATATCTTTTGAAACAGCCAAGACACATACATGAGAGGTCATCAGTTTAAGTTGGCTACGCAGTACAGCCGACGAGAATGTTGATGAAACACTTTCTTCCTCCGAGTGTCACAGCCCTGGAACACCCTCCCGACGCATGTAATCAATGCCCATACCTATTCCCTATTCAAAAACGTTTTGATGATACCCTGACATATTTACACTATGTGTTATAGCCCATAACCATCAGATGATGCCATTAGTGCATAAAAACAGTGGGCGGAGTCAGAATCATTTAAAACTTTAAGTAGGAATACACGCACATGTGCTATTTCAAACACTTTGTTGATTCATGTATCTCGTGCTTTCTTTTATAGACACTGCTAATTATCTTGTAATATTCATCATAAGCCCCCTACGGGACTTTTCAAGCATTTGTTTTTATACCCGTTAGTAACCATTGGTCTAATGTTTTTATTACGAAGGTTCAGAGTGGAATTGTGCTGCAGTTATAACCTGGGCAAATTGCAATAGGCTTTCGACGAATCCGATTGTACAACAGCATCAAGTTGTGCTTACTGTTCTCAGCCAAAGCGGATGGAGTTAAAGTTGCTGACAACGCTCCCGATTGATCATGATGGAATCTTTGTCTAGTAGACGATTGGTAAACGATCTATGTTAGCTTTCTTCAGATGTTTTCCTCGGGCTGCCACAAATTAGGATGCACGTAACCAGCAGGAACGAGTAATACAAAAAGTGCAACTCTGATTGTGGTTGTATGGATAATGCGGGATACATTAAGCACAGTCTGGAGCGCGCAATCTGGCCCTCAACCTGCTCCATAAGTTTGAAGGAAAATAAATTCCTGATTCCGAGATGATGGGGAATCGAGTTGATGCAACATATCCAGCATGGGCCAACAAAACGAGACGCAGTTTACCAGTGATCACGAGACGACGTAGGGATGATGCGATTTGGCATCGACAGCCTCTAAAGTCAGTCAGCGGCGCATACCGATGCGAAGCAGAGAACAGGTTTTATCGTCTGTTTGCCTGGAAGAAGGACAATTGCATAATCTTGATACTCTATGTGGCGTATGAGTCACCATCTCCAATCCGTGCCACACCCAGCATTGACCGTGTGCGTGTCGGCCCATCGATTGTCCACTCGCCAGGGGCTTGTCCTCAGCTACTTGATCGATGTACACGTACTGACCAGAGCACACGTTTGCGTGCTACCAGCCGACTGTGTTCTGTTGTCCTTGTGCCGTCCGGTTAGGAGCCCGTACTGCCTACCCAGACTTGCGTTAGTTCCGCAAGCGTAATTAACAATGGCAACAGAGTCTTTATCTGGAATTATTCGTAATGAGTAAACTTATACCACCGGATCCGTTTTGGAAAGAAGCGGATTTCAAGCCCTCACTTGCAGTTTGGACTAAATGGAAGGGAACATTCTGTGACTAACTTAAACTCTTCAGAATTACAAATGCACACATCACTATTACTGAATAATAATACGTTGAACCGATATGATAACACCTGGGTTCATAGGATCAGAAACATTTGGATGCGCTACGGTTGTATGAAAACATTTCCTTATTAGGCTGTCTGAAATTTCTGGATGGCCTTTGAGGCTTACAACAACATGTGTTTAATGCACGACAAATGTTTTCGCAACAACAGCAGGGAGACGAAGAAGAGGTTAACGTATTTATAACCCGCATACAACAGTCCCTGTCTGACTGTCGTTCTAATAAAATGCTGTGCACGAAATTTAAAGTGGTTATAGCTATCCAGTGGCGTTTGGTTGGCATTCACGACAACAAGGCCCGAGAAAGTCTATCTTAGAAAGATGAGAGCAAGTTTACTTGGGAAGCCGCATGCACATTAGTGAGGCAAAGATAAAATGTGGATCAACGATTAATTCGCTAATAACATGATCAGCATTCAGATGTAATACAGGTGGTCAAACCTCGATTGTCACCGAACTACAAACGCTCCTTTATGTGGTACAAGTGTGGCGAAAGACATGAAAGAGTAACTGATTGTAGACACAAACAATCCACTTGCCACAAGTGCGGCAAGGTCGGACTTCTTACACGTGTTTGCCGCTCAACAGTGCTTCCACATCGTGGATCTCACACTCCACAAACTACTGTCAGGACAGTAGTTCATTCTGAGGTGCGCATGCCTTATTTGATTTCACATACTACCACATCGCATGTTCGCGAGATACCTCCACACACTGCGGAACTGAAGATTGAAGGCCAACGATTACGCCTAGAAATCGATACAAGGGCCTCGGTTAGGTTAGTCATCAACCGTACACTGCCCGACGTGCCGCTGGTACCAACCCAGTCTACCTTGAGTTTTTATACTAATGAGTCGCTCGATGTACTGAGGATGTATGATGTAAGGGTTACTTGTGGAGCCGAGACATTTACCGTTCCCATAATTGTTGTTAACATAGATGACTCAAAGATGCCCGGTAAAAACTGGTCAAAACCTATGCCGGGACTATTTCAAACCGTCAAATAGTGGAACATATTCCAGTTGTGTATTGGATTTCGTAACACAGCGAGCAAAATATTTTGATAACTGATTGTCAAGTATGCAGGTGAGATTGTGTGCATATTGGCACGCAAAATTTGAAAACAAACTTCTATGCGCGTGTACATATTGATACATCGTGTACGAAGGGAATATACACAAATACGCCTGATCGAATTCTCTGTATCGAAAGCTACCTTCAATCCGCTTAATTGTGCTTGACTATGGCAGGTCTTCTGGGAGATTTCTCATGTGTCCGTTCATCGCATACAGAAAGTAGCTACTTCTCTTTATTGTCCTGAGATTTATGTTCGGAAGATTCTTGAGTACGGTACTGAGACAAGCTTCATGCCTGATATCCGACTGAAAAAACTGGGATATGGCAACAGCAATCAGGTGCGGTCGGAAGTGGTCCCTTGCAGGCGTTTCTGAACAGGCCAAGGCAGGGTGTCTCACCCATCAACAAATACACTGTATCTTCAAAGCACGAGAAAATGCTGCAGTGCTAGACTGACACACTCCTAGTCTTCATTAACAATCGCAGTGAATCCTGGTTGCTGTCGTATCATTCCCGATGGCCGAATAACCGAAGAGGCAGGTGAGCGGAACAGGAAAATTCACGTAGTTTTGCAACCTCAGTTATCTATGGAGACTGAGCGATGTCAACTTGTTAGTCAAGAGCAGAGTGCATAGCGATGCGCTATATCCAATGTAATTTCAAGACAGAGATATGACCAGTTCGTGTCCTTGGTTATTAGTGATTCGAAGCATCGTACATGCCTGGTGGGTGCAGTGCAAAAGTAATATTAGGGCTAACTCATTAGTGTCCTGTAACAAACCGTTTGGCATAAGGCTACTTCCCATTGAGTTAGGATCCATTACGTTAGCTAGGTCGCATTCTTCGAGCCTCTGTCGACTACTGAGTTAGATTGAAAGGGTAATCAGAAGTTGATGAAAAGGTTTGGTCGGGTTGGTGGATGCGGTTGGCCAGAAGGAATATGCCGCATCGGCTACACTGGCTGTTGGAGACTCATTCTGACATGGCACCGTCATGAGCACTCTCGCGTCCTATCTACTGTGGGCATCTGCTACTCTCTCCATCTGATGAGTAAATATTTTAAGTGTGCACAGAGTTATATTTCGTCCTTAATTATTGCCAAGTGACCTTAGTTGTTATTATGGTAGTGAAGTGATAGGCAGCAACTGGGCTCGTCGCACTTCGATACGAGGAGCGTGGCTGACTATTCGGACGGGCAGGATTGAACATGTTAGCAAGTGACAACGGAGAAGTAAAGTAGATGAGGCTACCTACATGATGCTCAATTTGTTACTGGCATGGACAACGATAGACCCTCCATGATGATGGGCTTACCGGTGCTGAACATGTGGAGAGAGAGTAACGAGGTTAGAGCACCCATAATCTCTCTGGCAGTCTTGAGTCTTGCCGTGTAAGAGGGGCGTCTAGCATGCACTATGGACAAGAAAATGTATTTCATGGGTGGGATAAGAAGAATTCAACCCCCGTAGTTGAAAATAAATCACTGCTAATGTAAGGTTATGCTACTAATTGGATGCCTGCGTAACTTTGAAGTTGTGGAGGTCAGTGGCGCAGGAATGACCCAAACTAATAATCTGATACAGAAATAAGAGGTCGACCCACACGTGACGGAAGTGCCCACACGAAAAATCAGCAATAATGCGAGATTTACGAGAGGTGTCTGTTCGACGTTGGTAGTCCGCGTAATCCCATTTGGGGAAGAGTAGCTAGCATAAGAGTCGGATTAAGATGTCACCTCATCTAGACGGAGAGGCGAAATTGCGCCCAAGTTGTATAAGAGACAGAATTGCACTGAACTCGAACGTACCATTAGCTGATCAGGATGGGAGTAAGCGATTAGTGTCTGATAGAATAAGATGCATGAGAAAGGTTGTGCTAATGGTCAGAAAATGATCGATATCAAACGACTACAATAAAGTGCCGGCAGTGTTTAGTCTCCAGGTCCAGTAATTGGGCCACCTGATCTCGTCGTTTGTACAAGCACACCTCGTGGCGATATCGAACTTTTCGTCAAACACATAGTGGGTGTGCCTTTGTGTCGCATTCAGCTTCAAATCGGCCTGAATTACAAACACCGACAACAGGTGCGCCCGTTCCGATTCTCGTTTGCGATGTGTCACATAGCAGAAAAAGGCTAAGACGAAAATGGAAAAAGACCAGATTACTTACTGCTTGCGTACGACGCACGCGTCAGCTTGGAGTTCATCAAGTTGTTGTCTCAGATCGGCATTGTTAGCCGCAAATAAGACCACGACGTCTGGCATGCTGGTTGTGTGTGCGGATTCAGCTAGCATGGTTAGACGTCGATCAAGTACTGAGTGCAACCGATCCAGTTGCTCGATGATAGATTCCAGTCGGGTCTACAACGGTGAATAGGCGGGTTCAAAGTGATGAAGCGAGACAGAGAGCTGCAAAACGGGAGCTGGTGTATAAAGAATTAGCTTAAGCCTAACTACCTCGAAAAATCCGGGCAAATTAGGGTACACTGCATAAAGGATCTGTGCCTGATTAGAAGTCGATACAAAGGAAAATGGAAACGATGAGCACCGTGTCAAAGGGACGAAGAGGCTTTGTCAGAAACTGCAGCTACCACGGTAAAGAGCGAAAAAAACGCTAATCCCACGGAACTATCATGCAGCGTGACTAGTGAATCGAAGAGGTATCACGGTTTGATCTACGGGAAGCTCAAGTAAATCACGCGTTGACTAAATAAAGAGTAGAACAAAGGCCATAAGTTATTCCGTCATGTAATTTAAGGTGTTTATTCACCACGGTGTACGCCAGTTCCCGAGAGTCGAAAGGTTCGTGTGACGAAGATCTTCCTTCGACGGTACAGCCTTCACCCATACTACTTGACACCGGCGGTAGACTTTGAACGAATTCCGTAGCGTCGGTGAGTCGAGAGCGAAGAGATTGTAATCGTTGGCGAATGGATTCATCGGAGCAGGAGCGGAGTAGCCACCGTCTCGCTTCATCGATAAGCTTGACCCAATCGGACTGGGCAGTCGGATGAGTAGGAAAATAAGGTGACGAATCAGCGGGTGACGTGGAAGGACAATCTGCAGCAAAGAGAAACAGAGTGGTTGCATTACAGATAATCGGTAATGTACAACTGTGCGCCGTAACTTACGAAAGTAAGAATTATCCAAAGATGGAGTAGGTGTCCAGTAGGGAGAAGCATCCAATTTCTAACATCGTCCGTGTCTTAACTACAAACTATGCATGGTGTACAATGCAAGAACATGTAAAGACATGTTTTGTGTGCGGAACGCTTCAAGAACTGTTCGGGAAATGAGGCAGAAAAGTACACTGAAGTAACCAGGTTAGTAAAATAGATGAAGTACGGCAAATTCAGTCACAACGACTAAGACGATCGGTATAATGACGGGAAATTAGGGTAGAAATGAAGAGAAAAAAAGGAAACGAGTTGTTCGATGGGCTACTAAATAGTGACTATGCGATCGAGTCAAGACAGATAGGACCGTTAGCCATGGAAGTGGCGGAACTGAAGGATCCTACACGAAGAAGATAAGAATTCAGTTGATCAAGACTTTCAGCCAGTTTATGTACTCTCGTCCGCGTGTCGACCATGTAGTGCCGGTAAAGGATGTGTCTGGGTAGGCGGTAGACAAGTATACGAAGGATATGTAATAAAACTTAACTATCGGCGACGCTCACTCGATGTTGTAACCGGACAGAGGTACTGCTTCCCAGCTGTCGGTGGCAAGCGCCATAGAAACGCAACAACCATGTGTCTGAACGACACGTAATGTTGTACATACGCACTCTAATTGATAAATGGATGTATGACCGACTCCACAGGCAATTAGGAGCCCGAAAAGTCAATTGAGCTCGGTGGATTAGGACAGAAATCCCAGGATTATTTCGACCGCCTCGAGTGACACAAGCACGAAGACAGAAGAAGCAATCGACCAAGTACGGTGAGTGCTTATTTATCGTAAGAACGGCCGCCTCGTTTAGACAAAATTACGTAAGTATATCCCACTTTGAACATAGCAAACATCGTAGCAAAGAAATCATAAAAATGAAGCAGGCCATTCAGATTCGTTTGCGCAAGTTTGGATCCCGCTCCAATATAACTGTACTTGGGTAAAACCAAACGTAATCACTCGTTATTTGACAAAAAAGAATCTAAGCTAAAGCGCTTAATATAGTAGCGTTCATCTGAACTGTGAACATGGGTGTCACAGGAAAATGAGAGAGTGGGGCAAAGGTAATCTGTTCCCCTTTTTATTAGCCCAAAAGAGTTCGAAAACAACGAGGTGAAAGCATAGGGGACAAGGAACTGAAATATTCTTCCAAGGCAAGCGGTTCGACGTTAGTGTTACCATGGTAGCCATCATGTCAGATCGCTGAAGTGAATGACGGAGATGGGAGAGCTTATCAAAAGCAGTATCTCAGAATGGGCAGCCGGGCAGTATCAGTAACCAATAAACCACCGTAGCCAGTGCTCTAACTTATCCATCGAAATTCATGGTGTCGGTGTCGCAATCCGCAGACGTACTGCCGACACCTGATGCGAGTGGAGACGTTAGCAAAGTAATTTAACATGTGCCGTTCAAATGTGAATCATCATCATCAGACCGTTTGTTAGTTTCAGTGTACAATCCCACAGATTACAGCCATCAACTTAGATTACTGTAGACAACTCATACTGCTCAATCGTAGGATCGGCAAAACTAATGCTACCATTGTTACTGGGGACACGAAGGCTCAAGCATCCACTTCGGAAAACCAGCTAAGGTGTTACTTTGAGGGAAACACTCAGCAGATAAAAGGAGACCGGATTCTCTAACCGTTTGAGAACCGATTCGCTAAATCAGTATCATACGGAATTGTCATATTCACTAGCCCATTGTTACACAGTAAATTCACCGTTGCTAACTCGATGCACCATCCCCTTATGTGGGAGTGGGTGCAGGGAACTAGGTGAACTTTAGGAGACAAGTTCCGCGTACCAGAGCGGAAACAGATGACGAACAGCATGCGCACCGGGTTCCGCGCGACTGAACAGCCTATCGCACTGCACAATGTAAGCAACATCGTGCTTCGTTAAAAGGGTGAATATCGATTGACCAACTATTGATAAGCACAGATGCACACAACTCGGTAGACCAGTTCAATAAACGGATGAGCTAAGGGCTGACTATATACTGGTCAAATTGATCAAGCATGTGCGAATGCAAAGGCGCAAGATTACATGGTGTAATGGAGTGAGGACTTTTAGTCTTCGTGCGTCCGGTATGAAAATGTCAGGTTCTAAAGGGAGTAGGGAAGAGGTATGGATAATCCTGAATCAAAAATAGCGTTCCTTCGAACAATGATTTATGCCGGGTAAAATAGTAGTTGCTTGACAAGACCAACAGGATGGTGGGGGTTAAACTACAATTATCAAAAGATAGATGAGTTGTCTGTTTGAGCGTTTATCTAGCAGATACGCTACTGAACGCGACAACATATGGATAGTTACAGTTATTGTACTCCGTGAGAAAAGTAAAAACGAGAATACTCACTTCTGTACCGCCCCCTCAGGTTTACGTGACATACCAATCCGGTTTGAAGGGATAATGAATATATTCCAAAGTAGCACAGTTTAGGCAACGAAGTGATGAAGGACAAGGGCAAGATCCAATCGGTTTTTGAAAATATCCAGGGTTGGAGAGGAAACAACAAAATTTGAGTGAGAATCCGAAGAGAAAAATAATTCTGCCGGCGTTCCGGGCGGATATACTATGCACACAATTTCTGAGGATTACTTCTGAGATTGGTGTTATGGCTGAGTTTCAGCAAGGGACGGCATGCGTGATTAGGGTAGACTAATATGAGATCTGAATAATGCCGTAAGAAGACGAACACTGGCAGATGTCAACATTTCGTATTGTCTCTTCAGTGTTAATATGAGATCGCCGCGCAGCCTTCGGTAGCGGCCACTGAAAACCCAGTGACTTCAGCCTTTGATGGTAGGACAGATTTCGTAGGCTCTTGAGGTTTCTTTTGGCCCCGCGTTGGGATTTCTCTAACACTCCTAAGTCGCGCTCTAACCGAGGTTGCCAAGCTTGGACGGCGTATGCAACGTGAGGGCACACGTAATTGTGCAGTATGAGGAATATAGATGGGTCAAATCTTCCGAATGGTCTCCATAGCAAGCCGACGTGCTGGTTGACTCTCTTCGCAGCAGCCTCTGACTGCTTTGAACAGTTAGGGTCAATTTGAATGAACACACCAAGGTCGCGTGCTTGGGAAGTTGTCTGCAATACATGCCCAAGCCTATACATGTAGTCATGCCTATGGCGTCATTGAACAGCGTGACATTTTTCCACCTTGTACGGTAGTGTATTCAGAACTGACCAGTTTGAAATCGTGTTGAGGTTACGCTGGAGCTTTTCGTGGTCGTTTGGTTCTTTGATTGCTCGCCATAACTTGATATTACCCACGAAGAATAGGAAATCGAAGTAATTTCCCTCGCCAAATCGTTTATGAAAATCAAGAATAGATTGGGCCCAAGCACCGAGCACAGTTGTGTCAGACAGGGATTCTCGTACTCTCACTTCCAACCGACGTTCGTACAGGAAATTGCCTATCCAACGCGCTAGTGGGTCACCAACGCCATTTAGCTGCAGTTTATGGAGAAAAATTTGGTGGTCTAAGTGAGCAAGGCCAGGTAAAGCCCAGGTAAATTACAATTGTTTCAGTCTAGCTACTGCTTGCAATTAGCAGGTTCGTAGTGCATGAGCGCTATTGTCGGAAGCCATGTCGCTCTGGTGTTATCACCTTGCGATTTTCCAGAGACTGCATGAGTGCATCAGCGATGATAGACTCCATAATCTTGGAACGCACAGGGAGTAGCGTTATAGGACGGTAATTGGTTGGGTCAGTGCGACTACCTCCCTTATGAATAGGAGTGAAAACCGCTCGCTTTCGTATTGTTGGAATATGGTTCTCCTCCATACAACGTTGACAGAATATAGCCAGAGGTTCCATTAGATCACGGGCTGCTGTCTGTAAAGCCTTCGGTCAAATGTTACCGACACCAGGAGAGCTGTGGATGCGCAGGGACAGCAGTTTCTTTGACGCAGTTCCTGCAGTAAAAGTACTATTGGCTAAAGCTGATGATGGGACAATAGAAACAGGGATAATCGTTGGGCCCGTTACTCTCTGAAACGTTTGTGAGTAATGGAACCGCAAGACATCCGCTGATTCCGTCGGTGATCGCGTGCACCCGTCAGTCGGGATCAGTGCTGAAAACCTGCATTGCACCTTACGAAGGCCATTAACATGTCTGTATAAGAGTTTGCGGTTCGTGCGGAATCTCTTCGTTAACTTCTGCTGACGCGTCATTTTGTCCTCGCGGATCAAACTCACATAAAAGTTACCCTGTGTCACGTAGGCAGTCCAGGTTTCGGAATTCGGGGAGTCTTCGCGAGCTCTTCATGCTATGTCCCTCAAGGACATGCATCTGCGTGTTCTGATCCTTCTCCTTTGACGATTGAAGGATTTCTGCTCAGACGCGTGCGTTACCAGTGTGGTAAATGCCCTTGTGAAAGTGTCCAAGGCGATTTCTGGGGGGCAATCAGTACAGAAGGTCTAACAGACCTCCTTAACAAGCGCAGATAACACGTTGTAGTGCGTGACCGTATACATTTTATCATCCTCTTCCTTAGGATATTCCGCATAACATACATAGTTAAACAGTAAAGTCACATGGTCACTGCGACCCAGTGGTGTGCCTGTAATTATTCCGTTGACCATGAGTTGGTGAGCAGAAGATCAAGTATCGACGGCTTGTTGGCAATGCGAAATCTGGTGGGAGAGGTCACGTGGTTGTACAGAGGGCAGCTGGAAATGACCCCTTTTAAATTGACTTTGAACTGCATGCTATCGCTCGCCGCTATTTCCAGATCGTGCACATTAAATTCGCCTGCGACGAGAATGTGACTGTATGTCTTGCTCAAAGCAACCTGAAGAGTATGGAATCCATTTCACACGTAGAGTTTGGTGGAGAGTAAATCACAGCTATAAGACATGTGTCTTTGTTCCGCAACCATAGCCGGTACCAAAGCGAATCTGGGCCACAGATCTCTGGGTGGTCAATTAGTTAACATCGGAGGTTAGCCTGTTAATACAGTACTCGAAAGCACCATGTATCTGTGGCGTCTAGGTAACCACCAGAATGAGGCAAGAAAATCAAGAGTTTAACAGATATGGGAGGCACTGCTGATTCCAACAAAATTGGCTTTCGTAAAGCTTGACACACTGAAGTCGGCACATATGCAAATGTAAGGTACAGAGGAAAGGCTACGTCAACCAGCCATGCGCCATCCGAGGATGGGTTGGTTTGGGTGACGCGAGGAACGGGCGTCAGAAAACTGCAGTAAGTCATATGATGTTCGAAGAATTTAGCAAAAGATATTGTTAGACTCTGGAGCATCCACCGTGTTTCTGGACTGCGATACATGGTATTGTTTCCTCCTAAATTCCCGCAGTTGAATAAGTGAAGTGCAACAGCATTAATTAGAGAAATGAATATCACCAGAAAAAATGTTTGTCGAAACCTGGCGGTGTAAAACGCCTCTCAGAAAATCAGAAGGGCAGTCGGTTCGATCTAGTAGGGGAGCAGTACCGCAAGCATTGTGTAAAGTGGACGGTTCTCCTAACGAACACACTATTGAAAAAAACTAGCAATGACTAAACGTGGAGAGCACTTGGACCTGATGCATCAAGTGGACGATTCCTGAATTTTGGATAGTTCGTTCGTTCTTTCCCGCAAGTTGAATCGCAAATGAAGTGGCGGTAATCCATGGATTTTCCGGTAAGGTTGTGATGAGGGCAAAGCCCCGTGTGTTGTGGCCAATGCCACGGAAGAAAGTATTCACTTTTCGATTGAAACACTAAGCACGGAGGGATTGTAGCAGGAAATAGTCGGTGATAGGATAACCCCTGTGCGTGGTCCAAAGGAAGCATTAAAAAAGGTTCAATTTACTGTGTGCTTATCCATTCTTAACCTCCTCCACAAGTCATTTCACGTCGACAAACCCGAATCTACTGCTTCTGGAAACGAAGCTAGCTGATGAAGAAGGCCTTCAGCTGTTATGTCTGGCCAAAGTTATTGAGGTGGCCCATTCGCATCATTTCTATCGTACATATTGCAACGAGGTAGACGTATCTCCAAATTAGGACTCTGACAGTAAAAAGGAAGGACAGTCTTATGCGCACAATGATGACTGAAAGGTTATCAATGTCTCGACACTTCAGTCGAAATGTATGTACCAACAGCGCACTCATATCTGGAGGAAGAACTTACGATTCAATGTGGTACGTGGGTCATTCCAGTCACCGGCGCTTCCATGCAACAAAGATAGTTCTGCTTCAGCCAAGTGGATCAGTCTGGACAATTCATTCTGCCACTGGGTTATGGCTGTATTCCAATCTGAATGAGAGCTTATGTGACCTACGCCACATAAGGAGAGAAGAAATGTGAGTATAAAATCAACCGAGATAGACGATTATCAACCCGGAAAATGGAAATTCGTTTAGTTCAGCAACAACTACCTCTTCGTTCGTGACAAACCAAAAGAAACGTAGGAAGCAGAACACAAACTGCCGAAAATTCAGGACCGAGAATTATTCACAGATGCTAGTCAGGTGGCTCCATAATAACTACGATCGTAGGGAAAGGCTCCCAGAGTGAAAATGTACGAGAAATGGATGAAACGGGAGTCAGAAAACTCGAATGTGCGCGTAAATAACATGCTATAGGTTGTACGCACAACCCCAAAGTCGACATAGGAGCTGCATGGGCATAATTTCGGATCTACTGAGTACTGTGCATGCTTACGAGACCATAGCCGAGTGAATAGAGCAGCGGTGTGTGGTGCAAGAAAGAACGCGTTGTGCCGCCGGATAACCACTTACAACCTGATACTATAGCAGACAGACGCAATAAGACGGGGAGTGGCCCACAGTTAAAGTTGAGAAATAAGCGGATGAAGATGTAGTGTTTTAAGTGCTAGACCATTAAATGATACTTCAAGAGACGACAAATTGAGTGAAAAAACGTAATACGAAAACAGAACTGCATACTTTTGATGACGCATCGGTTAGATCTGGATCTCAAGTTAATAAATTGATACAGGTTGTTAGCGAGCTTTCTCAGACGAGTTCGTGAACGATCCAGTATGTCATGGTACGTGCAACTCGGGTTTGACTGTGGAAAGATTCGGTCGGTGACGATGCAGGAGGAGCGGTGCCTGTTGAAACATTCCCCATTAGGTAGCTGAGAGGACAGACCCAGGCACTGCCGACGACATCGTGGAAATGAGAAACACTTGCCGCGCAATTTAAACTCTGCACAAGATGGAACGTGATCGGATGAAGAGAAGAAGAACCCGCTCTCCCGTTGCTAAAAATAGAGTGCATAAGTGTGTGTGTGTGTGTGTGTGTGAAAATACAATGAATCAGGGATAGAAGGAGTACAAAGTCGTAAAACATTGGCAAACCCCGTGGGGCAACAAGTAAGCTGCAAGATTGTGAAAATGGTGTAACACTGCAAGTTGCTTCTGGTTCAGTCATTGCAAGACATCGTAGGAAAAATTGTGTGCCACGAATCTGGTAGCTAGCAGAATTTTCTGAGTGCGGGTGCATCTAATCTAGAGTCCAAACAAAGACACGGTTTTTCAATGCCCCGACTCGATCCCGATAAGTGGTGAAAAAGTGGTAACAGACGATCCATCGAGTGATAAGTGGGTAGGCGTAAATGAAACCTCTGTGTTGCTTGTCCCCAACACTGCATTTCCGGGTCAGTCGCATCTCAGTTTGGACTGTGAGTGGAGATAAGCCGGAGTTTGAATCGGACACACATGGTTCGTGACATCGTTGACACTTCCAACCCCCAAAATTAAATGATAATTTTTTTCGGAACGCACAGTAAGAAGACAAAGGCTGGTAGATGCAAGCATTACGGACTGACTTCTCAGTAGCATTATCAACAAGTGATATGCTAACATTTGGTGCGATTAGACAAGCCTAAGGTGCATAGTGAATGATGGAAGTTCAGCCTCTATGTTCAGGACAGCCTGAAAGCTGACGAATAATTGTTTTTAGACGAACAAGGATGGCTTCATCCGGCTTATGACTGGCTTGCCGACGGTCCGGGAGTACCCCGTTCCAGCGAAAGGTTAGGCGGCAGTGTTCCAGGAGGTGGTGGGTTTTCGCCTGGCAAGCGTTCACCTTATAAAAGCCACATATGTCCGTTTAACAACACTGCGAAGTGACGGATGTGACTCGTCACTAAATAAAGTCACTGCGCCTTACTTCACGTTGCTGGAGCATTGTAATGCTTCAGCATGACGCTGAATTACTGAGTCTTGTGCCCCTGTTAGGCAGTAAGCCAAACGAAGGGCGTACGAACCGAGCAATCGGTCACCGGCTCCCAATGTGCGCGATTCTCTGAATTCACCCCGCTGTCTTGCGGGTCAGGTCCCTTTGACCGAAGGCTCCACACGTCGCCCCCTAAAGCAACCCCATTCATTGGCCTGGGCAACCGGGAAGCTGTATGCCCACACAACACATGAAATGATGGACTTACGACTCTTTGCTCACGTTTCTCGCTCTCTGAATACCCCCTCTTTGGCCGGGCATGCTAAACCTCACTCTACCGCACCGAAAACCACCTTCGTTCTAAGTTTATTCAACCCTCTAGTTCTTGGCAACCCCTTCCCATTTCGAGTCAACCAGTGCACTGCAAATAAAAACGATATATTTGGGCCCATCAATGAACTGTTCGAAACTGATCGAACACATTCCAATACAAGCAACAAGGTTTCTATTGCACCCCACTCGCTCTGCATGCTTGCTACGTTTAATGTGAGAACGCTCATGCAGGTTGGTTCACAAGCTGCTCTTGCGCGTACCTTGGAAACCCTCTCAATCGACGTTTGCTGCCTAACCGAAACCCGTTTACTAGACTCCAACCCAACGTGGCGATTGCTCCTATCATCCACAAGTTCCGATTCCAAATTCATCTTGCGTTTATCTGGAGATGCGACAGTGACAGCCTCTGGCTGCGCCGGACTAGGAGTTGTGTTAAGCGCGGGTGCTGACGCAGCGCTCATGGACTGATTCCCGATCAACAGCCGTCATTGTGCAGTCCTCTTGGAAAGCTTAGTGCGATCTTCCAGCCAAGGGACCATTAAGCGCTGCTCATTCACTGTGGCGGCGTACGCTCCTACGGACTGCAGCCTGGATGAAGCTAAAGACGAGTTTTATCGCAAACTCACCGACCTTCTCTGCAAGAAACGCCGCAAAGACATCGTGGTACTCGCCGGAAAGCTAAATGCGCAGGTCGGTAGACTAGAGGTTCATGAGGGCGAACTTCGAGGTCAGCACAGCCACAGTGCTTGCAGGACGGACAACGGCGATCGATTCATTTAACTGTGCGCCGACCAGGGCTTATTCCTTATGAGCACCAATTTCCGGCGTTCCTGACATCAATGAGGCATCTGGCGAAACCCGGGACCTGGTCAAGCTTGGACACAAATTGACCAAATCACCGTTAGTTGCCGTTGGTGAGGCTGCATAACGGACTGCAAGTGGATTTGAAACGCTTACTTGACTTTGGACCATGCGCTCGTGTGTGCTAAGTTCGTACTGCGTTTTGAAGGCACCTAACAGCGTCGCCGGAAACGGCTTGACACAGACAAGCCCGCCGCCCCAAAGGTTCTCGGCGCATCTCGGAACACATTAGCCCCTAACCTGCGTCCTTGATCCTCCGATGTTGAGACAAACTGGGCACAGATACAGAGCGCCTTACGAAAGTCTGCTACCCTGGTCTGTGGCTTCACTAGACGAGCTGCTAGTCATGGGATCTCTGTACAGTCGCTAAAATTAGTGGGAAGTCCGCGAACAATTCCTGTCGGGGTTGAGTAAAACGCACTATGCAGAACCACAGTTACTGAACTCAGACAGCTCCTTAGGAAGGATCGCGAGGTTCGGTGGACACAGGGTGTCGTTAAGATGGAGCGGGCGGCCACATCAGGAAACTCGCGCAAATAATTTCAACTTATTCACTCCACGGGAGGCAGAATGCCAACAGTGAGTGAGGTTTAGTGTGAAAATGACGGTGAACTAATTCATAGTCCTCACCGTCGTCTGGTACGATGGGCAGAGCACTCGGAAGATCACTTCAACTGGCCACCAGCACAATCGAGTCCACTTTCCAGAGCTCACAGTGTTCCCTGATGCGCAGATGTTCCTCCACCGACTGAGGCTAAGGTTCGCCTACTAAAGCGCCACAAATCACCTGGCCCAGATGAACTTCCTCCTGCCCTCATCAAATATGGAGGTCCTGCTTTCACTCGTGAACCGACATCTCCCTTCCATCAGATATGGATTACTGAAACAATCCTATTCCATAGGAATTTAGCGGATGTTGTGATTGTTCACATAAAGGGGACCGGACCACTTGCTCCAACCACTGTGCCATCACTCTCGTTTGTATCACCTCCAAACTGCTCGCTGCCCTACTCTTGCGGATGTTCAGTTGCGTAGGGGAACAGCACCTGCGTGAACAACAAGCTGGATTTTGTCAGGGTCGCAGTTGCGTCTATCAAATCTTTACGATCCGCCAGATACTTGAACATTGCTACATCTTCAGTCGACTAACCATAGTCATATGTTTGGGCATTCGAGCCGCCCAGCATGTGCTGCTTAGACTGAAGATGGCCGCCTCCCAATCTGGATTGACCTCTGCCCCTTCCAAACGTAAGGTCCTGTTACAGGACTTGCCCAGTGCACGTCCTTTACTCATCCTTTCGGTGTATCCGCTGGAAGTGGTCGACAAACTAATTTATCTTGGGAGTTGTCTTAGTATTGGCGGTTTGACGGATGAGATCTCCCTGTGTGTCCCAGGCTAGAGTCGCTTTCGCTAACCTTCGTCCCCTGTGGCCTCATCGTGACTTCAGCCTCACTCTCAAGGGACGAGTCTACAGTGCTACGGTACGAGCGATTCAGCTGGGCGGCTGAGACTTGGCCCGTTCGCAAAAGCGAGGTTCAACGGCAGCATCACATCCGTAATGAGAAAGTCCGTCGGCGAGTCTTCAGATCTAACAAACACCGCCGATCGACTGATAGCATCATGTCACTGCGGAGTCTTCGCTGACTTGGACATGTGCTTCGCATGCCTACCCAGCGGCTGGCGACCTACGCGAGCAAGAATGTTGAGAGGGGTAGGGGTTCTGGGAAAGTTCAAGCTGAACCCAATTATGCAAATGTCCCTTCATTCGGGAAGTTAGGGTGTTATCAGTTCTGCCTATGCAATTGATTCCGTAGTTACATATGAATTGTTATACATAATGAGAGTGGGCCCCAATAGGCTGAGATTCCTTCGTTGGAGGGAAAGGTAAACATTGGGTTCGGTCGATCACAACGGGTTGCTCAGCGTAGTAACTTCCCTGCGTAGTCGAGAGGATGCGCCTAGTTGTCTTCAGCGCGTTGAAATCACCTTTGAAAAGTAGCTCAATATAAACCTTCTTAGTTGACATGTGCACCAAGTCCTTCGGCCCTCGCAGATGGCTGTGCAGTTCGATAAATCATCGAGGAGAGTCATTCTCCATAAATGTTGTAATCAGAGTAAGCTCATCGGTCAAACAGTCGGCTAAACTGATTCGTTTGGTACGACTAAATAAGGTAGTTAAGAGTATCTACTTTTATCGCACTGATGTGAAATTGGTGAAGTGCAAATTAACGTTCGGCAAACAGAACGCCCAGTAAATCCATCCTCTCTACGATTGGTGAAGTCTAGATATGGCAGACAATTTGCTTGTACTTATTCGCAGGTGACTCGTAAGTTGGTATGTGTTTCATTAAGGTGCTAACTGAGTGTCTGAGTTGCTGCTCTGAGGCAAAGAAGCGCACTAGCTTCGCATATTGTAATTGGTCATCCAGTGAACTTGGGTATTATTATTATTATTATTAATAATCTCAGCAGTCCATCAACTAGACACAGAGCCAACATGAAACCATGGAGATCAGCGGATAAGAGAACGTCATCGCGTCATAACCATCGTGGCATGGTAGTTGAAGGTGGGCAACACACTTCAACTAATATGCCGCAGGAAGAATGGAACATTTCGACAAAAAGTAGAACAAAGCATTTTTAGTTTGTTTTTGACACGCCGATTTTTCTCTTTTTTGTCACTTTCAATGTTTGTAGTAGTAAACATGTGAATCAATACAACACTGTACACAACTCTCCCACTAATTCCGGTTGTGGGCCATGTCTCCAAGAGTGCTAAGCCATTGGCACTCCTCATCTTTGGGTCCCCATTCTGGAAAACGTACGGATCCAACAGCGGTCAAGCACGATGATAAAGGCTTCTTGACAGTAGTCAAAAAAGTACCAGCAATAAGTCGTACCGACTAACCGTTGTCAAGCAACCACCGTGGGCCGTAGATTACAAGCCAGTTGCTCAGTCATTGACCATTAAGCGCGTTAAATCGGATTCGACAAAAGTAGGAGTCTAAACGACGAGAACCTACCGGTAGTTTTTATCATAATCAGAGTGACCAAGGCATGCAAAGTGAACTGCAACAGGTGCAAGTGACCACAAGTGCTTCTGTGCGGATGAAGCTAAATAGTTTACTGCACGATACTGTCGAGATGTCTACTCACTGTGTGGTTGTTAGCAAGCAGGTGGTGTGTTGGATCATTATCGATCTTGAGTTGAGATCCGCCATCTGGATGTGTTCTCAATCCCTGCGGAAAACGAGCAAAGTCCACTCTATCGGTTGCGTCTGTAAGATCAAAATCCCTCGTTTGTGAAGCCGTAGTTACTACGGACGGGCTACAAACCTCGAAACTGGCATCAACGCTACTAGACTTCTGGTTGAAAAGCACGGAAGTTGTGGTGGATAAATCCATAGTATCCTGTTTGTATCCAATTGAAATATCGGGAATGTGTTCATCACTATTATCCGCCTGAGCCATGGTGGTCAATGGCGATCGAAAAGGTACGTACTCCTCACAAGCCAGCTTAGCATCTCGCGAAGAATCGGGTAGCGCTGGATCGAGTACCCCGACGTCACTGGCACATGAGTCGCCGACATCGTCCCACGGAAACTCCTCAGCGAACACACCCACTGGTTCATGAGTATCAGCTTCACTGGAACTGGAATACAACGGGACCTAAAAAAATACGATGAAGATGTTAAGGCGATACACCACAAAATATAGCACATGAATCTAGTAACTATGCTCTGATAGGAACAACTAAAAGTCGTCAAAGATTCTTCCGAAAGTAACGTCAATGACACCGAAATGATGATGAATAAAACTCGACAATTGAATGAGATGAATTCAAAGCTTGGATAGCAGGGGTTGACAGGTTGCAAAGGGGTTTAAAATAGCATTTTGCGCAACGTAACCGATGGAATCACTGCAGTGTGTAAACTAAAGGTATCCAACCTCCTAAATGTGTTCGAATCCATGATGAAGAGAGCGGTGATATGTCGTTACTCTGAGTCTGCAACCAGGAAGGTAATCACTCGCTTACAAACAATCACAACCTATAATGCATCTTTAATACTGAGTGGAGTGTGTCCAGCCGTACAGCGGCAAACGATGCGTGACCGCGAGTGATACAAAGTGGCCCGAGTTGAAGGGGACTGATCATCGACACTGGTCCTTTTAGCAGCTAGTTCGGTGGACTGCCAGTGTCCAACTGGGAAAGTGACGACGCAATGCAACCAGGATGCCTATTCTAATTAGTGCAGGTAAAAAAGTGCGCCTATGGCAGATCACTCGTAGATTAACTACACAGTAGGAATACAGCAGCGAGGCAAGGACCATATGGTGGTCGCACATAAAAGAACGGAGTCATAGCTCATCCGCGATTATGAGACAATAAGAAATCGTGAGCGCTTTATCAGACGAAGGTGGAAACCATGACTATAAGAAATCAACAGGAGAGAAAGAATAGCTGTACATCTGTACGCACCTGATAATCATCCCAATAGCTCATTAAATGTTCCTGGCTTGCTTCACGTTTCAGAGTATCGAGGCTAATAGGATTTGGAGCTGCAGACCCACCGGGGGCGTGTGATATGACAGATAAATCTTGATCCTCTGAATTCTGTCGGACTAATACTTCTCTTTCATGGGCTGCAATGCTACTTTTCCGAATGTGCGGCGAAGTTCTAGCAAATAGTGTGGGCCCCAGTGTGTTTAACCATGCTCTCAAATCAGTGGAGAGCTGCTGACGTCGGACAAGTTCCTCGGCGTGGGTAGCGGCATCCAGATAATATCTCACTCGCGTCGTCCATCTTCTTCGCTCCAGGTCACTAGCGTCGCCGTCGACAGACGATTCACTGGAAGAGTTCAGGCTGGTGTGTTTCCATACCGAAAGGTGAGCGCAGCGGCCTCGCTTGTGCCTACTATGGCTACCTGAATGGCGCACTGTCTCTGTGCTCTTGTTTTTACGCGTAGGCATCCGTAGTCTTGTTGCTAGTCGAGACGACAACAGACTCGGTTGCGAACTACTATGGTAGGTTTCGCGGAAAAAATTACGCTGCTGTCCTGTGGGCACATTAATTTCAGTGGAAATTTGTTCCGTAGCATATATATCTGTGGGGGTGAATGAGCAAAATAGTCAAAAACGATAGTCAGTTCAACAGAAACAGCTCTTAAGGGACGAGGAAAAGACCAAATTGACTGAAAGCATGAGGAAGCAGACATCGTGTAAGTTAAGGAATTTAGAAGGTAGTTTTTCCTCGCTCCGAAAGCAAAAAATAGGAAAAAGTGCGCAGTAGTAACCGGATGGACTCAGAGACTTCGAACAGTAAGTAACTCAGGGAGATAAAACGGTTATACTAACCTACTGCATCACTCCAGAAGACAAGCAATTAAGCGTCACAACTGGCCTTAACAGGATTGGAACAAGGCCTGCAGTTAGAACAAGCGCAACGATGCATAAAATTTAAAGGAGGAACAAGTGGAATTTGAATAACAGCCTTGCAGACAAGGTGATACCAGGCATGCATGAAAGGCACAAAACCTGTAACATTTAAGGAGATAAGAAAATGTTCACTTAGTTCTGATTCAGTTTGTAACCATCCACAGATTGGTAAGCTACCGATAGTAAAAATAAAGTCACCAGTGTCATCGTGCACAAAAGGTGCACCCTTGCTACATGCTGGACCGGTGTTGTCAGACAACCATAGATTGGAAGGAATCGGTGATTCGACTAACACAGACGATCAGCCAACTCAATGTAATCGAAACCAACACGGATACACGGACACTTTTAGCGATGATCCACTGCTATACAAGCACAAAAAAGATAGGCGATGTACAAGTTAGGGAATCGGAAGAGGCAAATCACAGCCAATGTAGGACGTGAAACATTAGGCAAGGACTCAGCGTGAAGGCGACCACAGCTTGTAAGGACTACATCGTTAAAATGGTTGGCTATCGTGTGGAGATAAGACGGCACAGGTGAAACAGCTTCCTTGCGGCTTGCACAGGTTCAGGGAAATCGCACCCTCACACAAACATTGCAAAAAGGCTAGAAAAGGATGGAAAACATGGGACCAGTACCGAACACGTTCTATGACATGTATTGCCAGGAATCAAATAGAGAGTGAACCGCAAGGAATCCAGTCCGAAACCGGGTAGCAATATCCCGTTTGAAGTTAGAGACCCCAATACCCGTTGCGGCACTTTGTGCCACTAAGTTACGGCTCAAAAGAATACGTTATCTAGGTACATGATGGCGCATAGGAAGTACGCAGATGAAACGAAGTAAGTCCTTAATTCTTATGATTTAACGAAGAAGACATGTCATAACTTGGCGTTCAACTGTGTTACCTGATTTCTGAAGATGTAGCGGAACTCATTGTTACATGAGACTTCGACTGTGAACAACCATAGCTCCGCCGATGAAGTTGATTTCTCGCCACCCCTAAACGCAACCACACAGTCCTCGATAAGGAGCTGTCAGCCCCGAAGTCTGCTATCTTCGCTACCGAAACCTGGAGTGCAGTTCAAACTAGCAGGACTTAGCTTGCGCACATTACTTCAGATCGGACAGTAAGCTGGACTTGCACGCACACTGGAGGCCCTTGTAATCTGTCTGACTAAAACCAGACTCCAGGATCCCAAAGCAGTCTACCAGCAGTTGTTGCCCGTCCAATCGCACACCAGCTTTTATCTTCGTCTTTCTGGTGACGCTGAGCACGCCGAATCTGGGTAAGTTGGTGTTGTATTGAACTCATTGCTACAGCGGAGGCCGCCGTCCTTGATTGGAATGCGGTCAACAGTCGTCTATGCGCCATGAGGCGCTGTGGTTATTGTAAAGTTAGCAGACATCGAGCAAACAAGCGTGCTCTACTAGTGGTCTCTGCCTACGCGCCCACCGATTACACCTCGGAAACAGTCAAGGACAAGTTCTATCAATGTCTTCATGAGCCGTTACTAAGGGCGCCTAAAACAGACTTTAACTCACGCACTGGGCGGCTGCTGCCATGTGAACACCACATCGGTGGACCGCGTGGGTATGATGATGTTCACTCTGACAATGAAGAGAGATTGCTCAGTCTAAGTACCGACCATCAACTTTTCCTCTCTATTCTGGAAGTCACTATGGCACCAGGCGTCCTCTATGACCAAACCAGCGCAGGTCACAAATTGATCACATAGCCATAAGTCGCAGGTGGCGCGGCAGCATACGCGATTGCGGATCATTTTGGTCAATTTGCGTTGACACCGATCATGCAGTGTTGCATGCGACAGTTTGCATGCGTTTCGATGGCTCCTCTAGAGCCAAGCAAACCCGGCGGAACACTTACAAGCTGGAGGACCCAACGGTGAAAACGCAGTATCAACAGAGGCTTCGTGAAATTCTCACTAAATCCCTTGCTCTGGAGGCTGATCAACACTAGTTAATTTTGCAAGCAAAAATGTTGTCCGCCAGCTTGTCAAGCTGAGGACTCATCCGCAGCACAACCAATAGCTGGATTCCGGTAAAACCCTCGGAACTGCTAGAACGTCGCCGGGCTGTGCCCGCCGGTGCGGAACATAATGAGGGAGTGTTCAAAAAGAGATCGAAGTTTTTAAATAGCGACGCAACCGGCAGAGAGAGAGCGTGATGCCGCTAATGAGCGCAGGTGGAGGCTTGCCTAGACGATAAAGTGCCTTTTGCCGCATTTCGCTGACCGTTGTTTGGGGAGCTACAGCCGCTGAAGTAAGCACGTGAACAAAGTATTCGTCGGATTAGTGCCAAAGAGACAATGAAGGAGCTTAAATAAAAACAAGTGTGTGAAATTTCGGTGCAAACTTGACGAAACGTTTACGGACATTTCAATTGCCAAACCAAGCATATAGGGAGGACTGTAGGAGTCGCACGCAATGCTATTAGTGGTTTGAACACGACAGAGAATGTCGGTCGGTGACGATCCCAAGCCTGGGCGACTTTCCACATCAACAGACCGAAAAAGAGATCAGAAACCCAATCCAACCTTTGAAACATCATAAAGCTCCTCGCTTTGATAGAGTACCTCCGGGCTCTATTCAACGATGGCAGAAATGCACTTGTAAGCGAAATCCTATCACTGTCCAAGAGGATTTAGATTGACGAGAAAGTCCCGATTGCATTGGGAGAATCGGTCCTTGTCCCGATGCACAAGGAAGGTTCTTGCGAAGATTGCGCCAATTACCGCGGAATTTCGTCGATATCTGTTGAGTCCAAAATGCTCGTGTCTGTACTACTCCACAGGCTTCAAGTAACTAGAGGGGAAGCTTCTCGAGAGGAACAAGTGAGTCTGCGTCCACTAACTAGTTGCACTCCGTCACGTCCACCGACGGCTTACAATCGTAGTGTTCCTGGGTATCCAAGCGGCATCTGCTCAGTAGATAGGTCTGCACTGTGGAACTGTCTACTAATGAAAAGTGTGCGGCCGCACTTTAACTCGCCTTTCGCCTTGCCCTCTGTGGCCAATCTAATTCTCCCCACACAATATTGTGTGTGCGCTCGGTCGAACCAGTTCGACGAGCTATACTCAGTGCTTCCCAGCTCTTGAATATAACCTGTGTGGATTATACTCTTGCTCCAGTTCCCATTTTTCGGCATACTCTTCGCCGAGTTCTACGTGAGTAACTACATCAAACCGGAGATTTTCGGGTAAGATTTTGGTCTCATTAGGAATAAGAAGCTGAGGACTCCCAAACTACGCCGCAACGATGCCTGATAATTGCAGCATAACAAAGTAACAGTCATTTTGCTCCACTCGGCAACTGAACAGCTCTATGGACGCTTATCAGCGCTTCACCTGCATCGTTGCTTAAGGCATGTCGATCAACACACGCTGCCGCTTTGTGTGGGTGTGGGTTCTCAACTGCGAGTCGATGGATCGCTGAACCCGACAGTCTGCGCGTTACGACCTCTATCTGTCTCGACCGCCTGACCTTGGTGCGGTTGAACAACTCTATATTCTTGCACGTGTTTTCACGGGTTTGTGCGTCACGCCTGGCGCAAAGAATAACCAAGCTGAGCGCTCAGATAGGTCTTGCTGCAAACGATAGGAAGACGACTAGCATTCCAATGGTTAAACGTCGCCTATGTTGCGCAGACAATTGCAGTAAAATCATTAAGATCGGAGTAACCTGTTCTAGCTGCATTAGATCGTACTGTCCGCAATGTGTAGGCAAATCCGTTCAAGAAGTGAGACAGACAAACAAACTTTCTGACACAATTTAATTTTGCCCAACATGTCAAGTCATTCCAGTTGTCAACTGTAGCTTCGCTCATGAAAAAGTGCGATAGGATGACTGAAATAAGTGCACATTTTCTAAATACAAAGATCGATCCCACGGAGGTAAATACGGCCACGATAAGACCTCAATCAGCCAAAGTAAACTCTGAATCTAAGCCGAAGAAGAGAGCTAGACGCTCCAACCGCACTGCAGCGTCTGTGACTGGGTCACCTCACTCCCATAAGTGGACAAGCCTCGAACATTCCCGCTTCCACTTCTCTAACCATATACGGCTTCACCGGGAGTTTCAGCCATGACATCGACAGCTCAGAGCCGAAGGCAATCCGGTGCAGATAACAAGCAGGTAACGTACGCATGGATTGCCTCGACAAACACACTGGGAGCGACACACGTAGGTCCATATTCGGACCGAGCACACGTGGAGCAACGCAGCTTTCACCGTCAACTTCAGTGATGCCTTCTAAACAGCCCAAATTGCCGGCAAAAACGTCGAAGCCGAAACTCGCTAGACAAAACCATGCTGCGTTAACCCTCGTGCGCACCAATGTTCTCGCGTCCAAATCTGGCATAATAAAAGGCAAATTGCAAGACGATCACAACAAGTGGAGTTCCATCTGCAATGCGACTGGTTTTCGGGTTGAGTCTGCAATGCTGCAACGTGTAGCGCGATATCCGACCTTGGCGCACTCTGGTGAACCTCGAATTCTTCGAGGCTGCCCTGCTCTCAGCAGTTCGTCTTCGTAACTCACCGAGCGGAGTGCGCATATTACCCGATCTACTTTGAGGAAATCGCCCAAAAGAACCCGGTGACCAACGCGGAATTCCTAATAGTGATAGCAAGAAAACAATATTTG